GTGTGCCGAAATGGGTGTGCGGGACGCATGCGGGCACACCCACTGGGACCTTCGGTGGAGCTCCCTATGGGGCCACGAAGCGTGTGAGGGGTGGGCCGACATGGGTGTGCGGGACGCATGCGGGCACACCCACTGAGACCTTCGGTGGAGTTCCCTATGGGGCCACGAAAAGTGGGAGGGGTGTGCCGACATGGGTGTGCGGGACGCATGCGGGCACACCCATTGGGACCTTCGGTGGAGCTCCCTATGGGGCCACGAAACGTGTGAAGGGTGTGCCAAAACGGGTGTGCGGGACGCATGCGGGCACACCCACTGGGACCTTCGGTGGAGCTCCCTATGGGGCCACGAAACGTGTGAAGGGTGTGCCGAAATGGGTGTGCGGGACGCATGCGGGCACACCCACTGGGACCTTCGGTGGAGCTCCCTATGGGGCCACGAAACTATGGGGTGAACTGGGGGTGTGACGAAGCGTGTGTGCCGAAATAGGTGTGCGGGACGCATGCGGGCACACCCACTGGGACCTTCGGTGGAGCTCCCTATGGGGCCGCGCGCGAGAGGTGGGCCGAAATGGGTGTGCGGGACGCATGCGCACACACCCACTGAGACCTTCGGTGGGGCTCTCTATGGGGCCACGAAACGTGTGAGGGGTGTGCCGAAATTGGTGTGCGGGACGCATGCGGGCACACCCACTGGGACCTTCGGTGGAGCTCCCTATGGGGCCACGAAGCGTGTGAAGGGTGTACCGAAATGTGCGTGCGGGACGCATGCGGGCACACCCACTGGGACCTTCGGTGGAGCTCCCTATGGGGCCACGAAACGTGTGAAGGGTGCGCCGAATTGGGTGATGACGATGATGATGGTGGGAGGAGGAGGAGGAGGAGGAGGAGGAGGAGGAGGAGGAGAGGAAGAGGAGGATGAGAGGAGAGGAGGAGGAGAGGAGACGCGGGCCACCGTCTCTTCAAAACGAGGACCCAACACCACAGGACGGTTGGGAAAAATTAGCCTGGCGAAGGACCCAACCATATGCAGTTGTGAATGCCGCAATTGTGCTGGGTGGTGGCGGACGCATGCGGGCGGTGCCACTGGGACCTTCGGTGGAGCTCCCTATGGGGCCACGAAAGCGCTGTACTGGGTGGGCGAGACGCGGTCAGCAAGGACTGTGCTGCGTGGTGGCGGACGCATGCGAGCGGTGCCACTGGGACCTTCGGTGGAGCTCCCTATGGGGCCACGAAACGCTGTACTGGGTGGGTGAAACGCAGGCAGGGAGCAAGGGCTGTGCAGGGTGGTGGCGGACGCATGCGGGCGGTGCCGCTGGGACCTTTGGTGGAGCTCCCTATAGGGCTACGAAGCGCTGTTCTGGGTGGGTGAAGCGCAGGGAACAAGGGCTGTGCTGGGTGGTGGCGGACGCAAGCGGGCAGTGCCACTGGGACCTTTGGTGGAGCCCCCTATGGGGCCACGAAACGAGGGGTGTGCCAGAATGGGGTGTGGAACCGCATGCCAGCGCAGCCATTGGGGCCTTCGGTGGAGCTCCCTATGGAGCCACGAAACGTGTGAGGGGTGTGCCGAAATGGGGGGCGGAACCGCATGCGAGCGCAGCCACTGCGGCGTTCGGTGGAGCTCCCTATGGGGCCACGAGACGTGCGAAGGGCGTGCCGAGAACCGCATGCGAGCGCAGCCACTGGGGCTTTCGGTGGAGCTCTCTATGGGGCCACGAACCGTGTGAGGGGTGTGCCGAAATGGGGGGGGAACCACATGCGAGCGCAGCCACTGGGGCGTTCGGTGGAGCTCCCCATGGAGCCACCCACGAAGCGTGTGAGGGGTGTGCCGAAATGGGGGGTGGACCGCATGCGAGCGCAGCCACTGGAGCGTTCGGTGGAGCTCCCTATGGGGCCACGAAACGTGTGAGGGGTGTGCCAGAATGGGGGGTGGAACCGCATGCGGGCGCAGCCACTGGGGCCTTCGGTGGAGCTCCCTATGGGGCCACGAAACGTGTGAGGGGTGTGCCAGAATGGGGGGTGGAACCGCATGCGGGCGCAGCCACTGGGGCCTTCGGTGGAGCTCCCTATGGGGCCACGAAACGTGTGAGGGGTGTGCCAGAATGGGGGGTGGAACCGCATGCGGGCGCAGCCACTGGGGCCTTCGGTGGAGCTCCCTATGGGGCCACGAAACGTGTGAGGGGTGTGCCAGAATGGGGGGTGGAACCGCATGCGGGCGCAGCCACTGGGGCCTTCGGTGGAGCTCCCTATGGGGCCACGAAACGTGTGAGGGGTGTGCCAGAATGGGGGGTGGAACCGCATGCGGGCGCAGCCACTGGGGCCTTCGGTGGAGCTCCCTATGGGGCCACGAAACGTGTGAGGGGTGTGCCAGAATGGGGGGTGGAACCGCATGCGGGCGCAGCCACTGGGGCCTTCGGTGGAGCTCCCTATGGGGCCACGAAACGTGTGAGGGGTGTGCCAGAATGGGGGGTGGAACCGCATGCGGGCGCAGCCACTGGGGCCTTCGGTGGAGCTCCCTATGGGGCCACGAAACGTGTGAGGGGTGTGCCAGAATGGGGGGTGGAACCGCATGCGGGCGCAGCCACTGGGGCCTTCGGTGGAGCTCCCTATGGGGCCACGAAACGTGTGAGGGGTGTGCCAGAATGGGGGTGGAACCGCATGCGGGCGCAGCCACTGGGGCCTTCGGTGGAGCTCCCTATGGGGCCACGAAACGTGTGAGGGGTGTGCCAGAATGGGGGGTGGAACCGCATGCGGGCGCAGCCACTGGGGCCTTCGGTGGAGCTCCCTATGGGGCCACGAAACGTGTGAGGGGTGTGCCAGAATGGGGGGTGGAACCGCATGCGGGCGCAGCCACTGGGGCCTTCGGTGGAGCTCCCTATGGGGCCACGAAACGTGTGAGGGGTGTGCCAGAATGGGGGGTGGAACCGCATGCGGGCGCAGCCACTGGGGCCTTCGGTGGAGCTCCCTATGGGGCCACGAAACGTGTGAGGGGTGTGCCAGAATGGGGGGTGGAACCGCATGCGGGCGCAGCCACTGGGGCCTTCGGTGGAGCTCCCTATGGGGCCACGAAACGTGTGAGGGGTGTGCCAGAATTGGGGGTGGAACCGCATGCGGGCGCAGCCACTGGGGCCTTCGGTGGAGCTCCCTATGGGGCCACGAAACGTGTGAGGGGTGTGCCAGAATGGGTGTGGGAGGGGGAGGAGGGGGGAGGAAGGGGAGGAGGAGGAAGGAGGAGGAAGGAACGCGGGGCGACGTCTCTTCAAAACGAAGACCCAACACCACAGGATGGTTGGGAATAAATACAAACATGTGTTGCAGCACCTGAGAGATAAGCCTACTAGATATCGTTGGAAAGGAGCTGGCATTCCGACTGCAGCCACCATCGCCGCATTCTTGGACTTGGGCTGGGAACCTTGGGGGCCTTGGGCGCGGGAGAATGGCTTGGGGAAGAGGTTCGCGATCTCGACTGACAGATAAGCCGAGGCAAGGTAGATTTGGCGGAGGAGGAAGAGGAAGAGGAAGAGGAGGAGGCGGCGTCGACATTTTTAGCTTTGGGAGCCCACTGGAGACCCAGTGGAGCCACCCTGGGGCACTCTTGCGGGCATGTTCGGGAGTTTGCGGGCCCATCTTCCGGCTCTCCTGCACCGGGGGGGGCGCCTGGAAAGACATCGATTAAAGCAGGGAGGCCCATTTAGCGCGACCTCTTTTTTCGGGTGTGTCGGAAGTGTCTGTGGCCCGAAGTGTCCCCAGGATTTCCGAGGATGCCCCCACGGCTTCCAGAGCACCCTTCACGAGGCCCAGAGGGCCCCACGGGGTGCAAAATAGAGCGACAAGCTGGGGTCACGCTGGGCCAAGGACACCTGTAGCAACCTCCGACTCTTGGGCCCGAGTAGTCGCACATCGGGGGCTATTTTGGAACGCTCATGGGGCGTTCCTGGGGCTGTGTTGACGCCCTTTTTCAGCCCATTTTGTAGATGCATGTCGGTGGTTATGGAGCAGCCTTGACGATCCGGAAGTCGATCGGAAGCGAAAGGGCGGCGTCGCAAAAGTACCATTGAAACGCACATTTGTGCTTGAATGATGTTGGCCCCTTCGGGGGGCATGCCTGGGAGGTTCTGTGGCCACTTGGAGCCGCACTGAGACAGTATTGGAGCCTCGTGGCGACATATTGGCGTCTCTGCGGAAGGCAACGGCGACCGAGTGTTGGCAGCAGCTGGCAGGCGAAGATGTCATGGTCGGGTGGGGTTAGGACGACGATAAATCTGTTACAGAGCGTTCCAGAACGCTCTCAGAGCGTTCCAGGACGCTCTGAGAAGGCCGCGGTGCCCGAGACATCTTGCAGAGCCGCCAGATCTCAGAGATTCTCGAGTTATCCTCCGCCTAATGTTGTCCTCGTCCTTGTTTCGTCTTCAATACGGAGACGAAGCGCGACAGCCGTGCTTACCCATTTTGAACAGGATTCGCTGTCGGCGCCGCCACGGACGTTGTCCATTCGGAGCAACATGTTGCTTACAGTCGTCCAGCATGGTAAGGACCGGCAACCTTCCCAAGGGTATCCTTGCATCCTTCCCGCCTCGGTTCATCCTCGGCCACTTCCGTTGGCCGCGCCCCGCTCGAAGAGCTTCGAGATGGCCGTCCGAGGCCCTTGCATCCTCATCGTGCGTCCTTATGATACGGATCGGCTGTCGGGACATCGACTACAGAGTTGATTTACCCCAAATTTGATCTGGTTCGTCGAATCCACCGAAATATGCAAATACGCAGTGTGCGTGTGCGCGCAGATCCACCAGCAATCTGCGCGTTTTGCTGTCGATTCGCTGGAACGAACTCATTCTGGGGTGAGTCAATTCTGCAGTTGGTCTCCTACTCGAAGGCTGCCCAGCAGCGGCCGCCGCAGGTTCTGGATCGCATCTGCTGTTTTGGCAATGGCCGCAGAGGCCACGGCATCGGAGGCAGGGCGTCGGTGTCCTGCCGCGCCGGGCGCCCCAGGCGTTTGGGAAGTTCATGGCGCAGACGCGGCCGAAGGACTGGCCCGCGGCGGCGGCGGCGCCGCCGCCGTCAGGTCGGCCTTTCCTCTCGGGGCTTCCGCCTGTTCTACACACACGAAGCGTTCCAAGAAAGGGGCCTCGCCTTCGAGGATCGAAGGAGTTGCCTTTTCTCGGGCGTGTCCCCCTACAGGAGGAACATTCCAGAAGACACAGTCGGGGGACGATGTGTCGTGCTCTTTTGACTATTTCTGAGTACTTGTTGTTTCTCCTCCAATATCCGCCGGTATGAGGACATGCCCGACCTAATTCTACACACGAGGCATTCTAAAAAAGGGCCTCGGCTTCGAGGATCAAAGGAGTTGCCATTTCTTCCGCGGCGGAATGGCGGCGGACAGTCCGTGGAACGCCTCCGCTGGCGGAGGGCCAGCGGAAGGCCGGCGGAAGGCGGCGGAAGTAAACAGTGCGCCCCCAGGAGGTGAAAACATTGTTGGGTTCAGGGCTTCCTGAATCGGCCACAGTACGGCTCGGGATGTCGCAAAGGTAACCAGACAGCGGCATTGTCGATGTGCTGTTCGGGCCGCGGCTCGCAGCATGAGTCTGCCTGTTGCGGGTTGGCTTGTGCGGTGTTCCTGGCTTGCCTGGCGACCGTTTGATTCGCGATATGGTCGTGTCACCCTCCGAAAGCCACGCTCGCCACGAGAGTGAGCCGCTGGAGGGAGGGGGGGGGAGGGGGAGGAGGGAGGAGGAGGAGGAGAGGAGGAGGAGGAGGAGGAGGAGGAGGAGGAGGAGGAGGTATTCTGCGAGGGAAAACTCTGAGAGCGGCACCGATTTGTGAGGCACGCTCGGCGGGGAGGGCTTTTTAGGAGAAGCCCGCCAGAGCGGTCCGAGGGCGGTGCAGGCGGGCATGAGCGGGGGCGCTTGCAGGCATGCTGGTTCCCTCGTCGTCCTCCTCATCCCCCTCCCCCTCCTCCTCCTCCTCCTCCCCCTCCTCCCCTCCTCCCCCTCCCCCTCCTCCTCCTCCTCCTCCTCCTCCTCCTCCTCCTCCTCCTCCTCCCCCTCCTCCTCATCCTCCTCCTCCTCCTCCTCCTCCTCCTCCTTCTCTCCAGCGTCCTCCTGAGAGCTAGGCGCAGGGTCCGCTGCAGGACGCCGGGGAGCCGAGTGCCACATGGGACAGGGGCTGCCCCGAGCGGCCCGCGGAGAAGTCTCCCTCGCAAGCTCACGCGCCGGGGCTGCAGTGCCAGCACAGAGCCGCAGGCCGAGGCGCGCAGCGCGCAGGGCAGCACCAGGATGCGCAGCGCAAAGCCACAGGGGTGCGCTCAAAACGAAGGCTCCGAGGTCCGCGCGGGTGCTTCGGGTTGGCGCCGGGCCCCCTCCCCCCACACGGCTTCCCTGGCGTGGGGTGTGGGGAGGCGGCCCAGCGCGGACCCAAGAGATCCACGCGGGCTGCAGCAAGAAGGATGCGGTCGGGGCGGGGGGGGAGGGCGGCGGCGGAGGAGGAGACGGAGGAGAAGAAGGAGGGGGACGAGGTGGTGGAGTATGACGAGCAGGCAGAGGGGAGGGTGGAGGAGGGAGAGGACGTCTCGAGGAAATGGAGGATGCATGAGAAATGCTACAATACACCCTGCCGCCCCGTGTTCTCTCATCATGGCTCCCTGTCGGAACTCCTAGCGCCCCCAGGAAAGACTAGCGCCCCATGCGCATGGCATTCAGGCGAAAGCCCAGTTTGCAAAATGATAAGTTGTTCATCCTTACAGTTTCTAGCTATCTAGTAGCATTCGGCCTATCTCGTCCGCGTGTCTGGGTCGTGGAGAAAAGGCCTCTTGGGGTCTTTGGGGAAGCCTCGTGGGCGACTCTTGAGGACTTCTTATAGGCCTCTTGTAGGCGTCTTGGACGCCTCCTCGGAGTTCCTTGGGAGTCTCGAGGAGCCTCTTAGTCTCGGGTGCCTTTTTTTGGGTGGGGGTGCCCAATGCCCATTCGAGTTCCCCCCTGCCCCGTTTGGAGCCCTCTGGGAGGCTTCTTGAGTCCGCATTGGGGCTCTCGTGGGGGCCTCTTGGGCCATCTTGGACGCGCTGGCGACCGAAAAAGCGAGCACGCGAAACAACCTTTATAGGGCCTCTCTTGGGGCCGTCTTGTGCGTGCTGAAGACCAAAGAGGCGAGCACGCGAAACAACAAGTACAGCAAATTTAGGCGCTTTCAACTAGTATGGTCCCTTGGGCCAGCCCCCAGGCAGGGCCTCCGCGAGGGCCCAGGAGGCCTCCAACAGGGCTCCGGGACGGCCCCGCGGGGCACTCTCGGGGCATGCTGGAAGCAAGGCCCAAACCACTCTCCCGAGGCCTCGGGAAAGGCCACGCCACAAATTGCAGAGCGCGCAGGAGTTCTGGAAGTCTGGGGCCTGGGCCACATAAACAGCACGTCCAATCCTGAACATGAGGGTTAAGGACTCACCTGGCCTTGGAGGAAACCGTTATGCTCGTCGTGTCTGGGCCCTTCACCCGGAAATGCTTTGCGCTCGTGGTATTCCGTGGGGCGTTCGGCCATTAGAAGAGGGGATCGTGATTGCGACTCACCGTGTGGAGGCCATGTTTCGATTGCATGAGAAGGAGGCCGTGGACGTCAACGTGGACGAGACGGATGACAAGAAAGGCGGCAGGAAGGCATGGCCCCTCGTGTTTCCCCCGCCGAGGACGCGTTGGATGGTTTGGGCAAAGGGCTGAAGACCGCAGGCGCGCCACGCGCGTTCTTTTTCGGAGCGAAGGCTCGAGAGGGGGCATGAGACAGGAGGGGCAGATGATGATGATGATGATGATGATGATGATGATGATGATGATGATGGTGATGGTGATGGTGATGGTGATGGTGATGGTGATGGTGATGGTGATGGTGATGGTGATGGTGATGGTGATGGTGATGGTGATGGTGATGGTGATGATGGTGATGATGGTGATGATATTGATGATGACGATGTTGACGATGTTGATGCTGATGCCGATGCTGATGGTGATGCTGGTGATGGCGATTGTGATGATGTTGATGATGTTGTTGATGATGATGATGACTGTGGTGGTGATGATGATGGCGGTGGTGATGATGATGCAAATGATGATGGTGATAACGATGACGGTCATGCTGATTATGGTGGCGATGATGACGGTGATGATGATGATAAGTAGAACGATGATGATGATACTGATGATGATGATGATGATGATGATGATGAGTATGGTGATGGTGATGATGGTTGTGGTGATAATGATGGTGGTGATGACGATGATTTTGATGATGATGGTGATGGTGATGGTGATAGTGATGATGATGATAGTGATGGTGGTGATGATGTTGCGGATGATGATGATGATTATGGTGATGATGATAATTATCATGATGATGGTGCCGATGCCGACGATGACGACGACGACGACGACGACGACGACGACGACGACGGGTGGTGGTGGTGGTGAGGAGGAGGAGGAGGAGGAGGAGGACGAGGGAGGAGGAGGGAGGAGGAGGAGGAGAAGGCGGAATAGTGGGTTCCGTCGCCATTTCGGTTCAAGGGCTTGACGTGTTTTGGGAACCAACGGGGTACCGCTGGTACGCAGTTCGCTCACGCCCCTTCGCCAGATCCGCCCTTGGCTGGGCCGTCCCGCTGGTTCGCCCCAGCGACGACGGCGTCTGCGTGCCTTCTCTGCCTCGCCGATTTTCGCGCGTGCGCAGTATGGATTGCCCCGCAGCAAGGACGTCTAGCAGCAGGCGGTGTGCGTACAAGCCTAGGTCCGGATGGCGCACGCCGTGTCGGATCTGGGGAGCAGCAACCTCACAAGTTTTCCGCCCCGCAGCATCGGGAGCCCGCAGGCAGGTGCAAGGATGGTTTTCCTGGTTTTTCTCTCAATGGTTTTATTCCTGTGCTGCACGATGGGTTGTTTACAGTGCCCTGCAAGATGTATCTCTCGGATTTCGCCGTCGTGTCCAAGGGATGGTCCACCAAGAACCTTGCTCGCGCTGCCGCGGCTCGAGCATTGGAAGCAGGCGATGCAGTTCCCGCCGCTCGCGCTGCGCGGCTGGCTTCTGACACTGTGCAACGGACGCTTGAACAAGCGCAGAGCAATTACGACAAAACCGCTACAACAGCGGCCAAGGCCACGGAGTAGATGCATCAGTGTGTTATCAATCTGGCGGAGTGCAAGGCCACAGCGGCTGAGGCAACAGCGAAGGCCGCGCAGGCATGCACCGCCATGTTTGCCCAGCATGCCGCCGCCAGCAACCCCATCGAGCAGTTGGAGAAGTTGGCGGCCAGTGTCGGGCTAAGGCCCTCAAGCCCATCGCAGCCGATGTCAACGAGCAGCTGGACAAGAAGCGCGCCGAGGTCCCAAGAAGCTCAGGCAACACAGGTCCCCGCGCAGCCAGCGCAACCGCCCTTTTCCTCCTGTTCAGCCTGTGTCTGGAGTCCCAGAGATTTGATGCAACTTTCTAGGATGAGCTCGGCAAGCCCGGTTTTTCTCCAGTTTCCCCAAGGGTCAGGGCGTCCCGCTGGCGACGGCGAAAACGACGCGGTCGACGCCGAACTGCCGGATGCGACCGACACCACTCGGCCCAAGATCTCGCCAGCGTTATACACCAGTCTCTTGCAAGCTATGCAGGGCCAGACACGGCGAAGAGGCCCCGTCTTGATCAGTCGCAGCCGAGCATTTGGCCAAGAGTGGTCGTGCGTCGCAGTCAATGCATCGGGTCGCGCAGGCTTCGAGAACGATCTCTGCTCGCAAGCCGCCATCAAGTCCGACGCAGTCGGATGCTACATTGGATGGTGAGCACCTGCAGTGGCCACCAAGCCTACCGGCAAGGCGGAAAGCCAGGTGGCTTTTTCCAATGGACAAGGTCGCGGGCTGCCCCTTCTCCAGGAGCAGGATGCGGTGCTCGAGCCAGCCAGGGTCGGGGTTCGACGCTTGTCGGGAGTTTGCCCAGGCGGGCTGCTCTGGGCAGTCGTATAGATGGATGATTCAGAAGGTCTATTAGTCGCGACCTGGGACATGTTGCGCAGGCTGGGCCCAATAGCTAGACAGCCCGGCATGCCATGCATTCTGGGCGGGGATTGGAACCTCATCCCCAAGGAGCTGTTGGGTCCAGGGCGGGCCCGGGCTCTTCCGGGCCATGTCGCGCCGCCCCCGATGGCCACTTGCACCGGCGGCGCCGGCGGAGTGCCGGGCTACTTCGTCGCGCCTGAGGGCCAGCGGCGCAGCGCCCAGCTCACGGTAGCCGCCAACGCGGGCACCAGCCTCACCACCCAGTTCGCTTACTGCTTCCAGGCTCGCGGCAGCGCCCCACGCCACTACCCCGCGCTCGTGCGCCTCGCGCGTCTCCGCGGCAGCGGCCATGCGGGGCCAGGCAGAACACCGATCGCTGGCAGCCGTCACGGACGAAGTACTCGACGAGGCGGGCGCGCAGCACCTCCCGGGGGCGTTCTGCCGCTGCGACGAAGACTGAACTCCACGACATCTTTCATATTCCACCTGGCGGGGCAAATCCCCACACTGGCAGGGCCAGTCCAGTCGCGAGGCGACGGCGTCAGTTCAGGGGGGCAATCCCCACGCGCACTCTTCGCAAATCGCCTTCCGCCGCCAGGCGAAGACTTGCTGCGCCAGTCTTTGCAGAGCCTTGCCAAGCATTAGTCAGCTCTGCCTTGCCGCGTCGCTGTAGCTCTTTGTCGGAAGGTCTCCGACCGGGGAGCTGAATCCGCCGATGCCAGCGCAGCTCCCTGGGGCCTTCTCTCTTCGCGTCGCTCCGTCTTTCTCGCGGGCGCCGGCGGCGGCGCTCGCCGCGACGCCAGACCGCCTCCGCGCAAGCGCAGACAGCCGGTCGAGCTGAGCGGGGACACCGGTCGGAAGAGCTGGGCCAACAGCCGCAGCAAGTCAGGGGGGGGGCCCCGTTGAATATCTCGAAGCCGCCCCCTCCTCGGCACGGCAGCCCGCGCGCCCGAGCGGGCGACCCCTTGCCGCCTGCGCCAGAGAGCGGGGGACTTACTGGGAGGTCGATAGATTGCAAGATCATCCGCTTTGGGCTGGGGACGCGAGGGCAGAGCTGCCGTCTCTCGATTTTGACGCGCCCAAGGTTCGTCTGAAAAGTTCCCAGGCCAGAGGCCGAGCTGGCCGCGACCAGATCCCACCGCGGCAGCTGCTAGAGGGGCCGATTGTTTTCGGCGACTCACTCTCGCAATCGAGTCCAGCTTCGTCTGGCCCCAGTCGCGGTCACTGGCAGCGTTCACTCTCGAGAGACGCGGGTGGATCAAGACCGGCAGCACTGGCGCACGTCACGTCTGGAGTGCAAGAATAATTTCGCCACCCTCTCACTCGGCGATGGCAGGGGCAGAAGCCGGCCCGCGCGGGCCCAGGCCGTTTTTGCCGGGCGCGGGGGCGTCGCCCTTCTGCTGGCACCGTGCTGCCCCATCTGCATAAGGACTTTGAATACGCTCGTCGTGGAAAGCTGCATTAACACTGCGAGGTTCAGATCGGAGCGGCGGCGGACGTCTCGGGGCGGCGCACGGCGGGCCCCCCCGCGCCGGCGCAAGACGCGCCATGCCAGGCCACGGTCATGCTTCATGAGAATCTAGAGGACATTTACCCCTCAGCTCGTCAGTCGAAGTCCCGCGCGCTCGCCTCTTGCCCTAGCCTTCGCAGGGATATCGCCACGGCGCTTGGGCCGGGGAAAGTCTCGGCCGCGCAATCGGAGCCCGCATCGGCATTGACGACGCAGCTGGAGGCGCGGCCGAGCGTCGCACCCAAGCTCTTCGGCGCTCAGCTGCAGGAAGATCATCATCATTGCGGGTAGGCCGCGCAAACGTAGGGCGCGCCACATGGCCCGAGCAGCAGCGCAGGCCCCCATTCCGCGCGACACGGAGGTCATGGACAGCAACGAGCGCGAGCCCAAGGAAGCTCGGTTCCAGCAAGCAGCAGTTCAGTCGCAGAGGCAAGCACATAGGTCGACCGCCTTCATGCTGCAATTGCCTGGAGTGCCGCGCACCGATCCTGCCAACAACCTCAACGTCGCCCCTCTCCTCGCTGTCTCCTCGGCCCTGTGGGGCGGCTCGGCCCCGAGGGGGGCGCCGGCGCAATGGTTCGCGGGGGCGCGGCGCTCTCTGGCCGAGCACGGCCCGCCGCGGCAAGCAGTGCGCGGGCCCTCCTCTGCGGCGGCGGCCACCTGTGCTCTGACCCGGCGCCAAGATGCACGAGCTCGCGCGCGTCGCCCGTCTGTTGGCGCGTTCTCAGTCGATTAGTTGGTTCTGCCCGCGCGCGATCGAAACAGTTCTAGGCGCGGCCGTCGAAAGCTCCGGGCCAAGGGCGCGGACCGCGCGACCCCCAGAGCTTTCGCAAGGGCCCTTTATGCAGCCCGCCAGCCCGCCCAGGACGGCATGGCCAATCTGAAGTCGCGCGGGCGCGCGCGTGTCAAGATGGGTCTTTTTCGGGGGCGGCAGGGCAGAGCGCGCCCCGCAACCTCTGGCGGGCTCGCGCATCACCACCCCGGGCGCCCAGGGCATCGGGACTTCCCAGGGATTGATGCAGAGCGCCCAGCCTGCGCGAGAGGCATGCTAGAGGCTGCGGGTAGTTCCCTCGTCCTCTTCGAGAGGTTGATCGCATCGTCGCCCGCCACCCCCCGCCCCCCGAGGAGCTCCGGCATTGCTGTTCCCCAGATGAAATCGGTGGCGGGCGGCGCATGGGCGACAGCCTCTTCGACTCAG